TTGAGTGTCGTACTGGCAGATTGACTCGTCTTGGTATGTCACTCCTTACCAAGTGATGTTTGCCTGGTCTGAGCTTTCCGCGTAATGCATGTCAAGTTCAAGGGATCGTTAGTCTAATTTTATTTCGACTGTTTTGAATCTTTTGTATTGTAACGAAGAATCGGCCATTCCCGCCTGGGTAATTCGTAGCCGTCTATATAAATTATTTATATCGAGGATTCGGGAAGCAAAAGACGTTCCCATGACTGAATAACGTATCGTTAATAATGAGCAAAACCACGTTAAACGCACGGATTAGGATTCGGGATGAGGAGTGACACAGCGGTGAATAAGCACAGCAGCGAATTAACACACTAATTCTTTACTTGTCAACAATAGCTTACAAGACGGCGAACTCACGCCGATAGACTACGACCGTCACAACAAAAAATCGCGAGCGCGAAGGTGAATCAGTAATTGGTCAGCTTGCCGATACCCTTTTGAATCTACTTGTTACAATAAATACCCGGTAAACAATTTTCGCCGTTAATGTGGCCGACGGGGTAGTCGACAGATCTGCCACACTACTCATCCATCAGCTGGTACCCAAACATGTAAGAGAGAGAGAGAGAGAGAGAAAAGAGAGAACACGGCACCGACCTCGACCGTCAGTCCCTCCGACGGCTAGAACACTTCACTGGATAACGTCATTGGTGCGCACCTTCTCGCTGACCACCTCGCTGGTGTTGTTATCGTCGCTGTTTGTTTTCTTACTCGACCTTTCACTCACTCTATTAATATTACTGACAAAACGCATTGTCGCTCATTATTGTTACTGTTGCTGGTTACGCTGCAGTTGTTGTCTCCGCTGTCTTTCGGTCACTCGGTATCTGCAGCAGCGACGATGTCCGCTCATGCAGCCGTACACCTTGCCAGTTACCCACATGAACCGGTACCAGGTATTCTTCGGGACACGGCTGGGCGTCACTCAGCCGTAATACCCCGATTCTTGTCCGCGCACCGGACGTGCCTCCGAAACCGAAACGTTAACGAGGTTGCTGGGGCAACTCCGGGAGACCGTTGCAATTTTGGATTAATGCGCGCGTGACGGTTTCTACTAATGCTCAGCAGATACTCTCCCCAAAATTGGCGCGGGGAGTCGCAACTGGAACACTATCTCTCTCTCTCTCTCTCTCTCTCTCTCTCTCTCTCTCTCTCTCTCTCTCTCTCTCTCTCTCTCTCTCTCTCTCTCTCTCTCTCTCTCTCTCTCTCTCTCCCTCTTCTTTCTTCCACGCCATCTCGATCGCTCCGTCCGTCAGTTTAGTTCGTATGCCGCACCTCGAAAAAAAAAGCCAAATATGAGTGTGTGTGCCACACACACACACTCTCAGCTTGGCGTGGTGCGCAGACATTGGCGAGAGCCAAACGGATGAAATCAACATAGCCAAAATTCTCCGTTACAGTATATGACTTCTTACTTGCTGTTTACTATGTCGATTGCAGTGCAGAGTGTTGAACCTAACTACGTCAATTCTGCTATATTACCATTTATTTGTTCTAATAGTTTTTGTGACTTCTCGTATTCATTCGTGCTAAAAACCAGGTCTTGTATTATTATAGCGAATGATACTGATTGTTGGAATTTGTCTACATTTTCGGCTATTATACTGTGACGTTGTCGCTTGCGCTACTGTTATCATTGCTTCTGTTGGATTATTGGTCAACTCTTAATTCTTTAGGAATGTTTAGTGTCGTTTCTTGCAACTTCAATAATATTTTCGCGTCTTTCAGTGATAGCTGTAACTGGTGCTTCTCTGACTCTTTGTTCGCTGAATTTTCTGCGTAAGCTGACGCTATCCGCTCTGATCTCAGTGATGTTTTTCTTACTATTGCATTTTCAATTTTTGTGGTAGGTTCGAAATTACTTGCCGTGTAGTTACCCAAGAGCCAAATGTGAATGCGTACAGCTCACGAGAGCTTGCGTCCATCGGTGCACAACTCTAAGTGTTACAAATATGCTTATATATTTTGATTATCTAATGACATAATCCATTTTTCTATGATCTGTCTTTTTTCCATCTTGAACTAGCTATTTTCATTATTTGCGCGTAATTATCAATTCGCCAATAAACGCTATATTTTTCGTTATATATGTAATAAATATTTAAGTGTGTGGTTCGCGCGCCATTAAGCTACCTGATCGTTTGTATGCAAATCACACTACTCTTGTATTCGTGAGTTTCTTATCTACAATATATACTGAATTTAAATAATTTGCTATTTTGGTCAGCGATCTGTATATTTTTCTTTGGTAAATTAAAGCAGATACAAACTACATCAAAACACGGAAAAGGAGTAGTCGCCCGTTACGACCAAATCTACTTCGTTTTGTAACGCTCTACTATTTTTGCTTAAGGTTGTTACCAATTGTTCGTTAACGCAACCGTGTCCGCGAAGTCTAATGCCGGACCAAAGTTATTGTGCACGTATTCGCCAGAACTGCCTGCGATGTACCTAATATCCGTGGTGAATTGGCCTATAAAGTCCAAATGATGAGCTTGATGAGATAAAGCTTTGTCGAGTTTTTACGAAAATGCAAAAGTTAGCGGTTTGTGGTCCGTGAAGATGGAGAAAATCCGTCCGAGGAGATTCCGAGCTCGTTCCGAAATCTTAGAATACGTAGCAGTGAGATGCAGTTCGTGGAGACGTGTATGGTCACATGTGGCGTAAACTGGCAATTCCACAACCCCGACAGTAGTTTATCACATTGATCCCTCGTTTGCTGCGGAAAATCTCTTTTCAGCAATGCACCATCAAAAGCGAGCACTGAGAAACCACTTGGCAATATCACTGCGGGAATGGCGTAGCCAGGAGTTTTACGCGACATTATAACAAAGATACCTATTTTATGTAAACAAAGAGAAGCACACAATTAGAATATCTTCGCAAACTAAACGATATTTGTGCACTGCGACAATAGCATAAACAAGCTCGGGGCGCTATACTAATCGCAACTCGACGCTGGCTAGCTTACTTGTCAAAGGTGGAAATGAAAATTAGGTTGGCCGCTCCGACGATCGCTGCTCCGAGGATAGATGAAATTCTCCGAGACAAAGACAGAGTCTGATTTTTCCTGGTAGGTAACTGCTCCTCGTGATATCGTTGCACACTCATCTCGTTCCCCTCTTCTTGTCGGCTGACGCTAGCCACTATTTTCGTTTTTTTCTTTCTAGGTGTCAAGGAAAAACAGTATCAGAAGTATTCTCTCTCCAAATATTTTTCTTCGATTGCTTAGTTCGTGCCACGCGCAATCTCTCTCCGAGGTCGAACGCACGCCAACGCGACTGGTAATGTGAGAGTTACCGCTCTGTCCCTTCTTGTCATCGATGGCAGTTAGAGCAAATGATCACCTTTAAGGAGTTTGATTCGTTACAATATATTCAGGCAAAACTGAGAAAATCCAAATAATCTAACCGTAATGCTACTTGTCTTTTTCGTATACCTACGATTTTTATGGGGCATTTAGGCTATATTGTTACGTCTCGTGCATAAACTACGAATAGCGAATGTGCGAAACGTACCAATATAGTACTAGTGGCTGATTGAGGCTCACGAGTAATGAGGAATATACGATATATGAATAAGAATGAATGTGTTTTATTATTTTGTTGTACTTACAGTTTCTAGAGTGCTTTCAGTATCGTAGATCTCGGTATTTGGATAGGTTCAATAATGAAGTTGCACGTTCTCACTTTTAATGGATCGCGTATTTATTGAGATCAAATAATATAGTTTGACAGGTAATAATTGAATAGTTAGCCAAATTGTCGAACAGGCTTGCACGCGACTTTAGCGTCGATACGTAGAGTTTATTCGTCAATTGTCGAACTGACGTGTACGGAGTAACAATAAAAGATGACTAACTCTTTACAGGTGGTTCGTCTTATATACATAGATTTGTGCTCAATTAATCGCTGATGTTTTTGTGTAGTTGGGTAATTTTGTCCTTTTGAGTTCAATGTGTGTTGTGAAATGCTGAGTATGGTCTTTGTATTTTGCTGCCGTGTGGTTTTCTGGTGGATGTGTACATAGTTTTGATTTTACGAAATTCGGGATTGCACTTTTGAACTGAACCGAGTACGTAATTCTAATTGTCATTGTCGCTATTGTCACTGAAAAACGTTCTGGAAACTAAACTTTCCGCATATGGTTTGGAAAAATAAAAGTACAGGGTCTCATAAATTATTCGATTATCAATCTTATTTGCAAAATTAACGTATAATGGAATAAAATTTCTCGTATATAAGCATACGTATATTATCATATTTGTTATTTACATTAAATTGTTTTACTTAAAAACTATTAATATTATTAACTAAGAAATTTTTCTAGACTAGTACATCAATAGGTATATTTCCTTGCGATGTCATTTTCGTTATAAGGCGATATATTTGATTGTTTCTACAATCTATATTATTAGTACCAGACAGTTAGCACTCTGTGTGAGATTATCCATTTGATCATCATTATTTTTATATCTAATTTGAGATAATCACAAACCTAACAGGTTGCCATAGGCAAATAATTCAGAAATACTATGTGATCATTACAATACTTTATATGTTTTATATAAAGTATTATAATGTGTGTGTGCATGTGTGTGTGTGTGTTCACATCGCAAGATTTTTTCTGAATTGCTGATAATTTAATTTCTACTTATGTAAATCATGAAATGTATTCAGTAGTTTAGGAATAATTTATTTTATTCTGAAATAATCTGTTGAACTGTATTGTGATGTAAAATGTATACCGCTATTTCATATTCTTTACGAGATATTACATTTCAAGATAATAAATTCATTTTCCGTATTGTGTATCGTAGCCACATCACCAATTGCTCGTATAAATTTTATTTATGAAAAATACGCATTATTTCAAGTTTATTTTGTTACAATAAGACATTTTTTTTTTGTACAATTATAGCTGATCAATATTGTGTTAAATTTTTTATATTTTTCTAGGTACGACAACAAAAAGCAGCATGTTTGTGTCAGTTGCTATAGCTATCAGTCAAAGTGACCAGCTTTAAGAGAAATGCATAGAAACTAGTATGTAAATTCCAAGATTATGAAAAATACACGCACTATTATCAAAGACTTAATTACAATATATCTCCTTGAATGTATTTTCGTCTTAGAATAATTTATTAACAACCATTCATTATTTTAAGGATAATTCTGTTAAGATTTTCACAATCCGTCTAAAGCTTCAAGAACATTACTGGTATTGAAATAACAATTTTAGTAAAGTTCGTTATTAAGAGTAAGAAGAGTAAATTCTGTTATTTCTAGTATGTAATAAATGGTTGTATTTTTAATATTTACAGTTATAGAAAACATAGAAAATATTATTTCTAAATTGGTATATGACACTTTTACGTAAATTTATGTAGATAATATATTGTAATATACAATCTTAATGTACATAAATAAAAGGAGTTTCAATGTAATATCTAGAAAGATACACACAAAACTGGAAATAGCAGAAAAGATTGTACTCATATAAATAAATGATAATAGCCAAATGTAATACGTCACATTGAGCCTATTTTTTTAATTTTGTTAATTTATCATGATTAATTTATCGACTTTTGTTCGAAAATTCTTATATAATATTTTCAATAAGCTGTGACATGGTGAACAGCGATAATTGCTGGTCCTGTGTGCGGCACTCTCCTCGCACGGAGGCAGCGACCAAACGTGGCTGTGACAACATGGTACATTAATTAGTTCATTGCAGGGTCTGGAAGATGTGAGCGCGGCTGGAGGAAGGGAGCTCAAAATGAGGACGAGAGTAAGAAGAGCAGAGAGAGCGCGACTCATTAGCGGAGAAGGGATTTTTAAGCGAGGAAACTCGCGAAATTCAAGTCAGAGACTCGACAATCCTGCGATGAAGGCGCGTAAAGTAAAGCGCGAAATCAAAGAGTCGGATGAATCAGAGGCCGATGAGTCAGATTATGATTCGTCGTGCGATGGCGATGAATCTTGGCAAGACCATTCCTCGGAGGACGGTAGCGCAAGAAAACTGAAGACACGATGCATTGACGGGCGAGCGGCGGATGCAATGACGGCGTTCAAAAGCTGATTAGTGTCTATTAAAAGAAAGGGTGAAGACGGCGAAACAATTTCTTGAGCGACTCCATAAGGTGCAATCTTTATATATATAAGACAAACAGAACACTGGAAACGTGTCCTGAGTACCAGACCTGGATCAAGTCGTTGGAAAACTCCAACACGAGATCCGGATGCCTGAAAAGTTTCGCATAGTTTCTTTCGAGCGACGTGCAGGGGACTACTTTGGTTACGCGGCGCATGGGACCGACCATTCGAAGATAGAGTTCGATTGGGTCAAATTCAATGATCGATAGCTGAGGCTGCGCGAAACGGTTTCCGAATGCGAACTTGTGGAACGCGAGCAAGAGACTGGAGAGAAGCAGACTGCGCAGAAATCGATGGTGAACTAGAGAAACGCCCAGAAGTGTCCAGTGGTTGGGCGTGGGTTTATCGGGGAGAATCTGTCGAGAACACCAGTAGCAGACACAGATGACGAAAGCTCGGGTGCAACTGCAGAAGCCACGCAGTCTTTGAGCGGCACTGGGGAGGACGCAGCGCGCGCGTTACCAGCCCCGGAGTGGGCTCGGATAGCTAAACCGTTTCAGCGCTACATGATCTTGAAGTCGAACGATCTTGGTGGTATAGATGAGACATCGTGGCGATCCATCTCCTCGTCGGGAGAGTCTTATAGTGCTGAGTGTCGCGGTAGGAGTCGCTGAGTGAGTCCTTAGTAGAACCGTTGAATGGCACGCAAGATGAGCCGAGACATGATGAGTCGGCGGGTAGGTCGACTGATGAAATGCCGGAGGATAGTGAGAAGGCCTCGCGCTTATGCGTGCGAGTGTGCGATGGAAAACCGCGCATTACTCGTTATTCACATTACGGATAGGCCATACAGTGCGTTTTACGATTCAGGAGCGATGGTGACTATTTCCGCGTACACTGCGAGTTCGTGTATCGCATTGAACCATGCGATATGTCGCTATTTGGTTTTACGGGTACGAAAACGAAAGCATGAGAAAATTTCGTTTTAAAATAAAGATTGACGGAGTATCATGGGAAATCGTGACGCAAGTTGTGGATGTGCCGATGTAATACGACATAATAATTAGCATGGATATGATTAACAAGTTAGGTATCGGCACAGAGCACACGGAAGGGCGCTGGCGTATAAGAAATGGTCCTTGGCCTTCGTTTTCGGAACTAAAGTGCGAGATGGTCGAATTTCCGAGCGACTTGGGATTTGCATGCGCTAGCATTAGAGCTGTAGTTCTTGGCCTTACCGAGCTGCAACCTTCACAGCACGAGACTATAGAGAAGCTAGTACAGCGAGTGAAATCCGCGAAATCGCCTGACTGCACGCACTTGATTCAGCACGAAATAGCTGTGCAGGGCGCGTGGCCAGTAAAGATCCCTTTGTGACACTATTCGTTGCAAGTGATGGAATTTACATGCTGCGAGACGAGAAAGCGGCTGGAGTCTAGATTAATTCGCAAATCGTCGAGCGACTAGAACAACGCGCCGCTTATTGTTAAGAAACAGGACGGCACGAACTGAATATACATATATTTGAAACCGGTGAATAAATCGACGAAGATAGACGCATACCCCATGCCGAGTATCGATTCAGTTCTTGATCGACTGCGTGGAGCACTTCATATTTCGAAGATTGACCCGAAGAACACGTACTTGCAGGTATCGTTATGTAAGGAAAGCAAGAAATATACGGCATTTGCGGTTCCTAGGTTGGGGTTGTTTGAGTGCAATTATATAATCTTCGGATAAGTGAATGCACTGGCAACATTTATGCGTCTGATGGATGCGCTTTTCGGTTCCGAATTCAAACCGTTCGTATTTAAATACCTGGATGATGCCATAGTAGTTACAGAAACTTTCGACGATCATTTAAGTTTGCTTCAGCGGGTATATATATAGCGGGTATAAGTTGCGAAGGCTAGTTGATGTAAGACTCGAGGTTAATGTGGGAAACTGTAAGTTCGGATGCTCAGAGGTGACTTTTCAATCTTATCGGCTAAATAGCCAAGGGCTACGACCTGATGCGGATCAGAATCGGCTGGTGCTTGAGTATCCCTACCCTAAAAATATTAAGCAACTGCGACGCTTCTTCAGCATGTGCGGTTGATATGCGCGATTTATTAAGCACGAGAACAAAATGAAAGTTGCGCTCACAAAGCTCAGGCGCAAGAGCGAGCGCTGACACTGGAGACTGGAACAGTCTGAGACTTTTGAAAAACTCAAGAAAGCGCTTACGGAACCACCGGTTTTGGCAAGGCCTGATTTTTCAAAAGTATTTTTTATACATTGCGATGCTTCTTCGTACGCGCTGGGGGAATGTTTATTCAAAAAGATGAAGATGGTTTTGAACACCCAATTTCCTGCACGGGTAGAATGCTTAACACTCACGAATGAAACTACACGGTATCAGAGCTAGAATGCATGGCGGTGGTAATGGGAATAAAAAGTTTCGTCCTTACGTCGAGGGCAATTCATGGTGGTTATGTACCACACAGCGCTTACTTGATTGCGCAATAAAAAAGAACCTACAGGACGACTGTAGACTCGATGGGTATTCGAGCTGCAGCAATGATTTCGATATCGTCTACAGGAAATGTCGCCTACATTATACACCAGACGCGTTAACGCGCGCGTATGAAGACGGTGAGGAGGTAGCGGCATTCGCAACTATCACCGATCCCGATTTTTTACAGCGCATGAAAGATGTAATCGATAAACCGGATAAATTTAGAAATTGGAGAGTGAAGGACGGAATGCTTTATAGATTCTCGTCATATCAGGCTACTCGATCTGGTGACAAATCGCGAACAATTTTGGCGCTTAGTGGTAGTATCGCTGGAATATAGAGCTCGAGTGATGCGAGGCTCATACTGCGAGCTGTTGGCAAGGATAAAACTTATGATAGGATTGCGAGGGAGTACTCGTGGCATGGCATGTACCACAACATAATCGAATTCGTGAGGTCGTGCGAGGAATGCGAGTAATACAAAATTGAACAACAGTTACCGATGGGACTCATGAGTAAGCGAGTGATCGAGCGACCGTGGTTGACAGTAGAAGTAATTGAATTGCCGAGAAGCAAGAACAGGTTTGAACATCTGATAGTGTTCCAAGATTTATTCACGAAATACGTAGAATTTAAGTCTCTTGCGTCAGCTACCGTAGAAGCTCTTGCGCAAGCTCTTGAGGAACTCATTTTGTTTCGTTGGAAAATACCGGGTTACCTCGATACGCATAATGGATATAGTGAATTCCGAGCAGTCTTGAACGAGTACAAAATCGAACATATACTCTGTCCACCTTGTCACCAGCAGGCGAACTTCGCCGAGCGAGCGATTAAAACGCTTAAGCTGATGGTGGCAATTTTTGTAGATCAGGATCTGGGATTATCGGATAATTGGGATAAGCACTTGTATGAGTTTAGGCAGGCCATGAACACGACTATTCAGGCGAGCCGAGAGTCTCACCGGCGTTCTTGAATTTCGGTCGTGAACCGCAATAGTGAAGAGCTTGAGACACGAGGTAGAAACGCGAATGCCGATTATCTGCTCATTGATTAAAGATTGGAGCGAGCGAATGGCGAGATTAGATGCGTTGTGCGACTTAGTAATTAAGCATATCGAAGAAGTGCAAAATCGCCAGAAAAAGCATTACGATAAAAAACGTCGAAATCCGGAATCTTGGTCGGCGATTTGGTGCTAAGGTGCGTACAAACGTTGTCGAATGTGAGCGCGGGAAGAAATGCAAAAAGGATCCTAGATTCACAGGACCATATAAGGTGTTGCGGATGGTTTCGCCCAGTATTTTATTTTGTAAATTTTGAAAACAAGATTTTGAATTTTGAAATTATTTTGAAAACGAGAAATAAGAAGCAAATTTCGATGGGTTTGAGTAATACATGCCTCCACGAAATGCGAATGGGGGCAACAGATAAGAGTGGATGATTTGTGCGAACTTGTGTGTGAATAAAGGAGCGGCAATCACAAGGGTATGAGGTTGCTCGGTCCGACTACCACGAGGTTGTTAATTTTTTTTTGTTTTGTGTAGATTTTATTTTATGATTCTACAGGTATACGCCTGTAGCGGATCCGCAGGTCTCTGGTAAATACGCATACTCCATCGGCTGCAGAATTGCCGGGCAGCAGCAGCAGGAACTACAGCGCAATTCGCCGGCTTCAGAGTCGGTGAATCTAACAAGTGCGCTGGATCCGGAACCTGTACCAGTGTAGGAAGCGACCACTATAGGGGGTGAGGTCGATGGCGCGAGTAATGCGGTGGTGGTCGAGCAACGTTCAGGCGAGCGCGAACCGAGTCAGTTAGTTCCGGATGCGACCGAAAGACTGACGAGACCAATGAATGTCGGGAAAGAGATGGATAGGTTTCACGTGTTTCCTGATGGAACACACGTCCCTGCTCCAAGAGCGAGCGTAAAAGT